AAGTTGAGTGGTAACCCTAAATCAGCCAATCAACAAGTTCAACAACTACATACAATTCCACATCGAGTACCGCACTTCGATCTTCCAATTTGATTGAGCTTGTGGATGAAGTGGAAGATTTTGAAATACTAAAAGAAGAGAACAGCTGGGTGCTGCAGTGTCGAACGTGTGTCGAATTTTTAAACTCTTCCCTTGTTTCCTTTTCGTCATCTTTTAATCGACCTACTGGCAAAGCAGACGGATCTTTGGCATCTGGTTTACATATGTCAGATGCCTTGTATGAACAGCTAATTGCAGGCAAGTGTGAAAAATGGTACAGCCAAAAGCAAGCGTGTCATCAACATCTTCTTTCTTTGACCCACAAAAACGCTGATGACCACATGAAGATGGTAAAGCAAGGGAGGTCAAGGGAAGTACTTGTTGCAAAGAATCAACTCTGTGCAGCTCTTGGTGTTGTGAAAACAAAGTCAGCTGCAGTTCATTATGAAGCACGAATTGCTGAGCTTCAAGCTGCTGGTGCGGATGTTGGTGATTTTTGTCATTCTCGAAAATTGTTTCCAGACATGATCAAAGCAGCATGTGCTTACATCGACATGAGAGCAGCCAATTTTCTTTCTACCCTCTTCCAAACACAGGAATGCCCCACATTTTATGTTACAGCTGATAAATCTACCAATCATCGCATCACTAATCAGGTTACTATCGTTTGTCCAGTTGTAAATGGTAGTCGCCGAGGCATTGTCTTGACGCAAGGGAGGTTTACAGTAACTCTGATGCAACTGGTGGTACAGGTGATGCTCTAGCTGCATCCATTTTTAAAGATCTTGACGTGCATGTTGGTATTAAGGATAATCGGCTACTGCAAGTGCAAGGGCGAGTGATGGATGGACAATACGTCAACGAGCCGTTCATTGCAGGCATGAACGAGCCTGTATTTGAACTTTGCATGATGATCTGTCCTGCAAAGAAAGATTCTGGTGGCCTGTCCAATGGGACCCTGCCCATTGGTTAGATAAAGTATTTAGTCAGCTCAAGGACTCGCCTTTCGTTGATCGTTTGCTGAGAAGGATTGCACTTTATCATCAACTTTTTAGTCGTGGTAAAATGCACAGCGTAGCGCGTCATACTGCTAAGGACTTGAATCTTCCGTTTCGAGTAACCAACGCATTTGCACATCAGCGGTTTTTGAGCTCCAGCTATCTTTAAAGAATCTGGCAGATAGTTTGGAAGTGTACATCGAGACTTTCAAGGACCACGACAATAGAGAAGAGATGGGTTACAAGTTATGTGGTCAAGACTTTGTCCATGATTTGCTTGGTGTACTCGATTTGTTGTGGCCCTTGGTCGTCCTGATGCTGCAAGCGCAGGCTGAGTGGTATCCTGGTTGGAAGTTGTGCTCTCATGTTCCTTTGGTAAAACGACAGATGCAACGTTACATCGAGGAAGTATCTAAAATTGATCCTGATGACTTTGTTTGCCCAAGATTAAGCCAGCGAGTTCATGAAATTCGAGATTACCGCTTTGGGCAAAGTGAGTTGGAAACTGGTTGGTTTGTCGTTAGAGAAGGCGACGATAAAGTGTCAGTGGATTGGGTAGCAAGAGAAATGCAGGACAGTGTTCATGATCTAGAGAAGCTGGCTGCGGATGTCATTAGTCAGATTGATGTTTGCTACACCAATAGCTTTTCCGACCTCAACAGAATGCTATCAAAGTGTTTTGACTTTGGACGACTTTTTCGTGGTTTATGCGGTTTTCGTTCGAAGAAAAAGTCCAGTAAACAACAGGAGTTTTCTGAACTTGGAGCTAATGAGTTTAGACGATGTGTAAACTTTTCCTCACAGATGCCACATGTTTCTGAAAAGAATTTTGAGCTTTGTAGCGAGCTATCATCCACAGTGTTTTGGCGTCTAAAGAAAACACTCATTGCCGTTGTTTGGGGTGATATGCTACACACTCACTTCCCTAATTTTTTCAAGAAGATGTCTCTCGATGACGAAGGAATTTTTTCCTTGCAGGATGTGGTTTTCGAGGAAGGAGTCTTTGTGACTAGGTTCCAAGAAGGTACACCAAGGCAGTTCACCCTTTCTGAGGTCCTCGAAGTGACGCTCAACAATGGTAAAATGATTGACGTTCTTTTAAAGAAGAGGCCGTTATTGAATCTTTATATAACGATTCCTCATTTTATTCAGCTGTCGGCCAAGAGTTTTGTCTCGTCTTTGACATATTTTATGCGAAATACGGAACTGAGGCTGTTGCCGAATCTTTTTACCGGGTGGTGGATAAGCAAGAAATGGATGGTGGGCAAAGCATAAAAGTGCTAATGAATCGTGCTAAAGTTGATTGGAGTTTACCATCTGTACTTCAATGCGACGCAGCACTGAACGAAATGGCAAAACTTTACATCAATGGGGACAAGGAACGTGGTTTGTCCAGACATATGATTCCTGTTTTAGAGACCGACGAGCATGGCAAAACACGAAGGAGAGATGTCCAAGGTTTTGCAACGCATCATAACATCACGCCCTAAGCTACCTTTCCTCTTGTAACCTTAGTCAAGCGTCAACCAGTATGCTTCGTGCAGTTATAATCAAAAAGTTTTCAATCCAAATCTGGCAGCAGATCGTAATTGTTTATCAATTGAAAAGCTCCCTTGCTTACCATCTGCCTGCTGATTATAAACAATTATTAACTGAAAACCTTTTCTGTCCACAATCTGGCTGCTGATTATAAACAAAGATTAACTGAAAAATATTTTTGTCCACCACCTGGCTGCTGATTATAAACAAAGATTAACTGAAAACCTTTTTGTCCACCACCTGGCTACAGATTATGAACAAAGATTAACTGAAAACCTTTTTGTCCACCACCTGGCTACTGATTATAAACAATAATTAACTGAAAACCTTTTCGTCTAACACCTGGCTGCTGATGATAAACAATTATTAACTGAAAACCTTTTTGTCCACCATCTGCCTGCTGATTATAAACAATTAATTGAAAAACCTTTTTTGTCCACCATCTGGCTGCAGATTATAAATATTTATCAACTGAAAACCTACCATGATTACCATCTGCCTGCTGATTATAAACAATTATTAACTGAAAACCTTTTTGTCCACCATCTGCCTGCTGATTATAAACAATTATTAACTGAAAAACCTTCTACTCCACAATCTGGCTGCGGATTATACAAAAGATGGTTCCTGATTGATTTTTTTTTCGACGACGTATTTGACGACGTCAGTAAATCAAATTTATTTGAGTCTACCTTTATCGTATCATACGCTGTGATGAAACGATGAAACAGATGAATGATAAACATACGTGGTACGTTGGTCGTTCGACTCGTTACATAATACCTAAGGTAAAGTGGCATTTTTGTGATTACACATGACACATCCTCACGTTGTAAAGGAGAGTTGCAAGCTCCAACTTAAGGTAAGCTACAGCTATACACATGTATCATCTTTTATGTTATGTTTCATAATTATTTGCAATTGCAAACTATCAAAAATGGAGTGTGATACGGAAAAAATAAAACTGGCATCTCGCGAATATTTTATGGCTTCGCAGCGCAAAGTCGAATATCCGCCGCGCAAAATTGAAAATCCGCCGCGCAAAATTTCTAAAAAAAATTGATCTAGCTTGCGCAGTTTGCATACTTTCCAGTCTGGCTAGCTTGTACTATTAATTCGTACGAATGACTATGGCATCTACAGATACTCTAATACTGGTATGTTTCATCTTATAGATAATTCTAACATTAGTTGCAGAAATATAAATTATATTTTGACTCAAGCAAGTGCAATATTTTACTTGGCAACAGGGCAGTATCAACTATTATTGTCGAGCAAGATTTTACAGGCACCTACAAAACTTGTGTTTGCAAGGTTTGCAGAAGCACGGAGGTGATCCGGTTTTGACATTTTGGAAAGCATTTGGAATACTGATGTAAGGTTTGTTGTTAAAAATGTGGAGTATTGTCGTTCTCATTCTGCCGTTGTTGCGTTGCGTAGTCCATGGCAACAGGTTTTCTCTAGATTTTCTCGTAATTGATTGTCCCATTTTTACTAGTACTTTGTCATTTGATGCATTCTGACTGTTTTAAAACTGTCTGTGTATACTGCACCCTTCAAATAAGAAAATTTTCACTTTATTTTGTCTCCTGTCATTTCACATATGAAGCTTTACATTCTGCCAGCAGAATTTATGTCAATTTATAGTGGTTGGTCTCTTATCCATCACTAAACTAGCTTGTGCTTGCTTAAAAGCTCTATTTCTTTGTATTTAAAATGATCCAATGATATTTATTAAAATATACTGTATTGTCAATACTTCATAATGGTTAATACATTGACTTGCAGATCGTGTGTCAGAAGCCATTAGAGAATTTGAATCCAAGAAAGTGAAGAAGTTGTTCTGTGTTGTTTGATGGCATTAATCTATGCACATAAAAAGGCACAATTAATTGACAAGGAAAGTGTACATGAATTGGAAACAAGATTGAAAAAGATTCGAACAAGTGTTGGTGAGAATGCACTATACTTTGGTGCAATGTTTTATGGCACACAGGACGTCATGAAAAAGCAAGAAAATATGTTGACAGAATGTTGAAAATGTCCAATGGTTCGAAAGAGGTTTTCTTAACATGCCTTTCACATCATAACCACAATTTAACCTGTCTTCTTTCATACAGGGAACTATTTTACGTAGATGGATTGATCTTACAAGTACACGAGATTCTGCCATTAAGGAATCCATAAAATATTTTGATGAGGCTTTGCAGGAGTATGTTAATGTTTTCTCATAAAGACTTTACAATTTTCAATATTTCAATATAATATTTTCCAACTTCAGAGAATATTGATGCACTGTTTATATACACAAAGTACACAAAGTACATAGAAAACATCCATGCAATTTTGTCATGTCATGTTTTTCATTTCTCTTTCAAGGCTACATATCTTGTAAAGAAAAGTAATTTCACTTTGGCACTGGAATTTTTTAATAAAGTAAGTTGTTTATTGTGAAATATCGATGGAAGTGGAGTCAATAATTCAAACAAGACCTGGTATGATTGTGCAAGGACAAACAATGCAATTGCAAGTGAAGGCATCCACCAGCCCTGTTGCATATGAGAAACTTAAGAATATTCTTCTCAAAGAGTAAGTTTTGCATTGAGAGAAGAGCATTTTTGTGTAATTTTCATTTGTTTTTTTATCATATCAAAATGTACAACTAGTAAATCTCCACGAATGCTTTCATACGAACTAACCATGTATTCAGATCTTTTTGTTAACATTATGATACTGAAGCGGAATGCAATAGTTAATTTATACCTGTAAAATTGGCCTGTGTTTTTTACATAGGCGTCGTCAAACGTGTCGCAGCGATTTAGAAGTAAGCACAAAGTTGAATACTGCGTGATATAAAGCGCTCTCAAAGACCAGCGGAGAGTTTTTCAAAATAACTTGCACTACTAACTTGATTTTGTATCTACGAAAAAGTTATTTCTGTTACCTACTGTCTATGTTTTAACTCACTTTCCTTCCCTACGCTCCTGCATATTATTGTCTACGTATATATTAGCGTATATTTCTATTGAGAAAGCAGTTATCTTATATTTATCTCCATTAACCATGCATTTTCTTTTAAGAAAAGTGCTGGTAATTGAAAAATAGATTGATTGCAAACTATGTAGGTTAATATGATACTGTAGCTACGTACTTTTTGCAATTAAAAAAAAACAGGTCTTTTTTCCTCATCAACGTTTTCGTTCATGGTGGCTAGATTAGCCTACTGTATGGTAATACTAAAGTTGAATATGTTCAGTTGCGTAGCCAGCCTACAGATTAACTTTTTATGTGTAAACTTCAGAAGTTTACCATTATTCAATTCTTTGAAATTTGTTGTTCTCACGGTCCCGCGCGTACTTGCATAGTGGCAATATTTTATGTTATATATTTCTTTCGTCCGACAGACATTACTGACTATCTAGTTAGATTATTCCATCCATTTGAGATATTCGTTTGTATCTTTTAGTGAAGATATCGTTCATGGCTTTCGGAAACAGGAGGAAATTGTCAATGCTGCATCTGCATAAGTGATCGAGTTCTGAAGGAGCAACGAAAGACTCTTTGAGGTTCATAAATTTGTTCGGACTTGGAATAATACCGTGTTAAATTCATGGCGTGGAAGGCCGACGGAAGTTATTGAGGTACGTTCATATCATGTTAGGAGATGTTGAACATGATTATGACCAGATTTCTTTGCATAGTATAAGGTGTATAACAATACGTATATTACTCACAAATATTAAACCAAAAGTCTTATTATACCTCGAGCATATACCTCAACCTCAGCACACCACCATTTTTATACCGCGTAAAATTTCAACTTTACTGGATGACGAAAAGTTAAATAGGAAACAGAAAGGAGAAAATGAAATTGTACATAATTATACAGTCCAGCTTCATACAGCCGTTGTCACTGTGACGCTTTTGTCACATCGGCTTTGTCATCTCAGTTTTTTGGTCAAGAATATTCGTGTGAAAGTTCAATCTGATCCTTGTCATCTTGTCCAGTGGAGATTATTCGTCATCCACTACAACCTCCCTCCCCCTCCCTCACCGCACTGTATTTCAAGGATGCAAGATGTAATATAAATGCCATGTATCATCAATTGAAAATAAGTCTCCAGGGAAGAGTTTTCATCAATATGCTATTAATATGCTTTTAAAAATGATCCAAAATTCATTCAGCAGCCTGTTTGACTGAGAAACCTGAAGAAACATGGAAATTAACTGACATTTTTCTATGTACATTTTTTAGAAACAACTTAGACAGATTAATACCTGGATGGTAGAATTAGAACAGTTCACGAAGTCATTCTGCACAACTAATGGTTTTTTAATGGTTGATTGCCGAAATATCAGAGATAGCATCGTCCCGAAACTTGGTTCCATTTTTCGACAACTTTCCAAGATGGTTGCAAAGGATCTTATGAGGATGTCGAAGAAGTTCATTGACGAGGCTCAACAGCTTGTTAAGGTAATACGTTTTTATCAACATGCCATTTTTTACTGCGGAAGTACTGTTTGCAGTGTAATATTTGATAAAGTTTCCGTTACTCAACATTCAGCAACATTGTAGCAACTTAGCTATAACATCGTGTAAGCCCGTTATCGGAAACATTACAAAAACTTACAATATCACTTATGTAACCCAACGTAGAGCAACATTACATTATACAACATACGTAACCCAACATACAGCAACATCATAACATCTTAAAATATTACATAACCCAACATTACGCAAAATAGCAGCTTGCAACGTCACGTAACTACGCATTTGGCAAAAACTAAGTAATATTAGTAATATTAGAACATTAATCACTAAACAGATCACAACAATTACCGACACCTTACAAACGACTTATTCACAACCTCAAACGAACGAGCAATTTATTTACTTGAGCCTATTCTACGATGACAATACACAATTGATGCCCCCACACCGACACATTTCCTCTACACGCAATGACACATGAACTCTGAAGATGACTACCGCTCAGGTTGTCAAAACGTCAGTCAACATCAACACCAGCAGTCCTGCTAAAAACTCTACTAACCTGGATGATCTACAACTAAAAACACGTAACTAAATAACATTGATAACTAAATAACAAGTTATGACATGCGTAGATGTTCCATGATTCGTTAGTCGCGGAAACTACGTAGCATTTTTAGTAGTTGCGTTGTTAGCCCGTAAGGTTTGGTCCTGCTATGTAAATTTTAGATCATTAGCGTTATTTATTTGTTTATAAATTTATTGTTTTTATGCTGAGGAAACATCGAATCATTTAACCCTTCATCCGACACGAAATGAAACTCAATTGTTCAAAAAATTTGCCGGAATTTACCTTAGTATAATATTTTTTTAGCAACTGTCCGATAGGCGTACCGATTTAGAGAATTTTGCCAATTTCATCAAAGTTCATGGTAAAATAAAAAAGAAAGTGTCATTTCTACAAGTTGAGGTGGAATATATGAAAAGCATTTTTGAGGTATTATATAGGTTTCATGCCAATATTTTTGTGAAATTATAAAAATATTTAACTATTACAAAAATGATATTTTACTTATAGTAATATTACTATGTTCAGATGATTCGTGCTAGCCAGCGACCTTTGTCTGAAAAAGAGAAAGAAATTGAAGATGCTGTATGTAGATTGCATAAATCTCATCTGAGTTATTTCATCAAATTAATAATGCTTGTTTATTTTATCATATTTTTTTCCTATCAGACTTGCTTATCTTGGGAACAATTACTTTTTTGTCTTGAAGAAGCTTCCAACTTCTTGGTCTATAAAATTCCTGAAATAATGTGTGACCTTGATGATAAGATTATGGTAAAATATTTTGGTATATTTACACTATTTTTAAAATGAAAACGATAAAACAGTATATGTGATGTGATAAGTTTGTCAATACATAGTTATTCCATACAGAGGAGTAACTAGAACGTTAATTGAGGTGTGTGTGGGGCATATTCTTATAAAATCCGTTGTGCCTTACTGATTTCTTTTGAGAGTGAATTGAATTTCAAAAGAAATCGGTAGGGCGCAACTGAATACATGAATATACACCTCCCCCAATTAACATTCTAGTTACACCTCTGATTCCATGACGTGACGTGGTGATGTGAAGGGATACGATAATTTTCTAAGTCTAGGTTAACAAATTTTTTTTTGTTTTAAACTATGTGTATTATATTCGATTGTATAAAGTTTTGTCATTTCATTTAACTTATTGCCCAGTAATATCTCACATCATATTGTGCATAGAAACAAACTGTAAATAATAACATAGAAAAAGGATTTAATAATCATAAATAATTTACAAACTTACATAATGTTCAATAACAATAGAGTCTATGTATCAGGAGAGGACATCTTGCTCATCTCTGTTTATTGAATGTGTTCTTTTTAGTCTGTTGAGCATCAAGCTCGTGTTGTTGGTAAAAGGGCAACAAGCGGAGAGTTCTTGATTTCTGAGAACAATTCCTCGTTGATGATATTAAGTTTAATGAAGGTAAAGATTGCCGATTTTCATGTCTACTGAACTCACGAACTGTTTTCACGGAACTCTCGAATTCTCGCGAGAGAAAAGAATTCACAATTATGGCACAGTGAAAGTGTTTTCGGAGAATTCTTTCCGGAAGAAAAGAATTCACAATTTCAGCTTAGTTTTATCGTAGATTTCTTGCTAGAGGGAGAGAATTCACATTTAAGAATATTTCGAAACTGTCGAACATGTCTTCGGTAGTCAAATTCAACTTTTTTTCGCTTTAGCTTCGGAGAACATTTAGAGGTTATATGAATGATTTGGACGAACTCGTGGAATACAGAGAAGTGATTTCAGGCAATAAGTTTTGTAAAGATGAACTTCTACAAATACTGAAGAACGTTGACGTACGTTATGAGTTGTGGAAGTATTATGAAGTGTGCGGCGAGAAAATCGAACATTGGCTTCAAACACCATTTTTTAAGGTAAAGCACCGTGACTGAGCGCATAGCATGATGCGAGAATGATATCATTGCGCTTTTAGCCTATGAGTAATACAATATGAACCGCTCTAGGGAAGTCACCAAATTACACAAATGCGGACATGACAGAATTGAAAATGTAACTGTGTTAGAACAGAATATCAGAGCAGTCGCGAATGGTGGATCATGGGTGCGAGATTCGCCCAATCATCGTTTTGTCGGCAAAAATTGGTCATCTATCGTTATATTTTCACTTAATGCTAAGTCCAAACCAAGACCATACCACGCCCACTTTGCCGACAAATTTTACGCTTCGACCCCCCGTAAAACATAGAAATGACTAGGTACCATAGCTATCCACTGGGTAGATTTGAACTGTGCATTCACTGAAATAAAATATTGTTTCGAGGGACTACAAAATTTCTTTGTCTTAAAAAAATATAAACATCTTTTTTACAAGTGTAAAAATTTTTTTATCCAATGGATAACCCTATCCAGGCTTCGTGCAACCGGCCCCTGATCTTTTCTAACTATTTTAGCTGCTAATAAGTAAAAACGGCTTATTAATTAATTTCATTTTATGTAAGTAAACGATCGTGACATGAATATAAAGTATGATGAATAATGACGTAGAGATGAATCGTATGAAATTAAGATAAAGAGACTGAAAAAAGTAAAAAAGAATAATCAGAAGATAGATCTTCATATGGCAAGTTTATATTCGTTTTTCCTTTAGTTTAGGATGGGCTATTTCATGGCTGATCCCTATGTTTTCTCTATATCATACGTCTCTACTATCTTGAAGTTGTCTTTCAGCTGACAATATTAGTATTAAAAGATTAAAACTTTCATGGTCTTGCGCACTAGAGGGCGTCGGAAATGAATGATTATGATGTGAAATTGATCTGCATATCGCCCTGTAAGAAACTCAGTTTGTGTCTTGTTAGCAACTTACATGAGTAAAAAGATGCTGAATATTCACACTTTCATCACAATTGACTACATATAAAGTATTTCGTATTTTGTGGACAAACATTAAGAAAGTACTTGAAAAGATGAGCGAATGGCAGTTGGCTGCTGAAAATCTAAAATCTCTCTTGCCTGACCATGATGAAGTTTATGAAGCATGGATAAGGAAAATGGAAGCATTCACAAAAGATTTTCCTCTCTTGCAATTACTTTCCAGTAATGCGTTGAAGGTTGGTGAAAGGTGATATCATTTGATTTATTCTTTCTGTTGGCGGATACATGTGTTATATGTGTATACTATCGGGGGATACATATGTATTTATGTGTATACTATCGGTGGTGTTACATGATAATACATAATCATGTAAATTATACTTATTATTGTTATATATTTAAATATATTATTAGTAAACTAATTAGTAAAATGCCTTACTCATACATGCATGTGTATGTTAACCACAATAACAGGAAAAGCTTACGTATAGGACGTGGTCAACCTACTGACCACAAACAACGTACAGGATACATGGTTAATCAACTGACCACAGTTTGCGCACAAGCGGTTAATCGTACGTCATTGTGCAATCACATATAAGCCGAGAATCGAAAGTTGTAGTTATGTTGGTGCTTAGTAGAAGTCCACATCAGAAGAAAGCTCATGTAAAAGAAGACGAACTATTTAAGAAAAGAATCAAAGAATCCAGATATATATCCTATCCATCAACGAAAGAGTCGCCGAAAGTCTGAAAGCAGTTGTCTTAGACAAGTTTGAACATTTAAACATTTATATTATAACGATTATATCAAAATTATTAGTATATTAAATAAATATTTAAGAATTGACAACAACTTCTCCACAAGGTTTTACTCCTTTTGTTACGAGCAATTGAACCAAAAGCGGCCATTTTATTATTAGTCGGGACGTTCGTAACAAAATTGGGGGCCCACCCGGGAAAGAACTCTTTCAAGTTATTCAATTGAACAGAAGTCGGAACGAAAAAGAAAATAGAATCCAAAACAAATCGAAATCATTTCAACAACAAAATTTCACATCAATATTTTATAAACAACAAAAAGAGAAAAATCATTTATTAAAGTAAACTTGTGGACCAGTTGTTTCAACATGTCTGCATTTACACCAGAAGAGTTTATGGTGGAACCAACATATGAGAATATTCTGAAATTAAGAAAAGATGATCTAAAAGCTTTAGGGAAATATCTTAAGGTCGAATTAAAAAGTTCAATGTCTAAACGCGAAATACAGCATGTAATTTTAAAAAGATTATGCAACGATAAACTCGTTGATGAAGAAAACCTAAGTATTTTCATGCAAAATACAAGAGGTGAAGTAGATAGCATTGCTCAAACAGATGTTAGTCAGGAAGAGTCAGATGAAAGACAATGGCAAAGAGAGGAAGAAGAAATAAGGTGGAGAAGAGAACGCGAAAGACTTGAATGGGAGCGTGATTGTGCACGCGAAGAGAGAGCGTTTAAGTTAAGAGAACAGGAGATAGAACTAGAAAAATTAAAACTTCAAGCCACAAATACACATGCTGAACATTCTAAAACAAATTTTGACATAACCAAGCATGTAAGAATGGTTCCATCGTTCCCGGAATCGGAAGTAGACAAGTACTTTTTGCATTTTGAAAAAGTCGCCGAAAATTGTAAATGGCCCAAAGAAAGTTGGACCATGCTTTTACAAAGCGTTTTGATAGGAAAAGCTAGAGAAATTTTTTCTCAAATGTCTGTAATTGATTCTGCGGATTATGACTTAGTAAAAGATGCGATCCTGAAGGGTTATGAGTTGGTCCCCGAAGCCTACGGACAAAAATTTCGTGCTATTAGCAAAAATATATCTATAACTCACTTAGAATTTGCTGAACAAAAAGCTCAACTTTTCGATCGATGGTTAGCTTCGGAAAAAGTCCAAGATTTTAAAACTTTACGGCAGTTAATTTTAATGGAAGAATTCAAAAATTGTATCCACTCTGAAACACGAATTTTCCTTAACGAGCAAAATCAAACGAACATTGATGTTGATGAATTGAAAAATATTTCTTTTGAAGACGAAGGTTCATTAGTGATAACTGTTGCAGGCAATTGGTACATTGGTAGATTGTATTGTTTTGTGTGTTGAATGGTTTGATGGTTACTGAATACAGCATGACAAGTGTTTGAGAGATGTGTAAGAAGTCTATTACGGACTTTAAGTTGTAAATCAGGTGTATCCATAAGATATTTGTTGATTTCCATAGCGCTGTGATTGAAACCTGCTCTGTAATGAGCCAAAGCAACAGGATCTGTTATGGTTGATTGCTAAAGAAAACGAAATTTTACTAAACAGATAATCTCCAATGGATGTCTAGTTATGAAACAATATGTGTCATCACTATCTCTTTAATTTTTTTATTTAACGAAGATTTTCTATTGCCACGGATTTATGCTGTTAAAATGTTCATGACAATAGAGGTCAAGCTCAAATGTTCTTTGTACTATGAACAATTATGTTTTTGCACAAAATTCTTTTGAGCATTTTGTTGTTGGTAAAAACGGCTTTTGTTGTTGGTAAAAACGATTTTCGAAAAATGTTGCACTGGTGCCACTCTGACTGAATAAAAAAATATTTGAAAATTTCTTCGTTGTGGTTATTAATTATGTTGTGCAAGTGAAATAATAGAAAAGACAGTAATCTTGTTTTAATCTGTAAATTAAACTAATTAAAAGAAAATGTTTTTACCTTTTACTTGTTGCATTCGGATGGATTTTAAATACTGCACGGTCATTTCTAGTATGTCAGTATTTTCTAACTTTGAGCAGCAAGCCGTCTAAATGTCATTATAGCTATAAGTTAGTCTCACATGTTTTATTGAGTTGTTGGAGTTATTGTAGAAGGAAACTAAAACGATTTTATGCAGAAATTTAGTGTCTAACAGCAGGCGATAAATTCTTTAACAAGTGCTTTGTCAACAATTAATCCATCTCACTTCATACAACCGTATTACTACAACATAACATAACTTACATCTCTTTTCCTTGATTCTAAAAGCAAATTTTTCAGTTCGTTCAAACTGTTATTTATTCTCTCGCGTCTTCTTTTTTTCATAACTGGTTTGGACGACTATAAATACAAAAATGCACGAATTTAAATACTTCAAGTATTGTGACAGAAATCTATTATATGTTATTGATTTTAAAAATCATCACTATCACTGAAATGCACCCCCCGGCCATTCAAAGCTTAAGCAATGTATATATATGAACGATTTACCATGGATGCATGTCATATATCTTTATAGTTTTTGTATCATTTTTGATTTTGTTTTATTTAGGCTGTAAAGTATTTCATATAAAAGCAATCAATTATATGTAGATACATAAAAATTATACGAATTGATAATTCGATATGTAGGTACTAGATTTTAATATTTCGCTTATTTGTGTCCTCAATATGAATCTTGTGTGCATAATTATAATGTCCTTAAGTGAGAAACGTGTTGAAAAAACTCCAATTATATAACATTATCTTACAAGTGCATGGCATGGACAATATTTAAAATCCTGAAAGTCTATCGTCAAGGGATAAAAATACTTTCAAAATGATAATTGGTAAAGTAATCGCACTTTTAAGTAAATATGTTAGGATTCAAAGCGAGATACCAAAGAATATAACATTGTATAGTGTTTTTGAAATGTCGACAAAAAACTTCGTCGCAAATTTCTGATTGTTTGGCGGTTTCTGTGCAATATACGTATTATACAGCTTTTCATAGATCGTATCAATAATATAAACACAAGTTATTTTGCAAGTAATTATATGCTAGCTTATTTCTACCAAACGTGAACCCAAGCGATTTATCATTAACTATAACCCGATAATTTCATTTCTAAACTTTTGCGCTTTCTGCAAATATATTTATATATAATTATTAAACGAAGCATGGTGTCACATTATTTAAAGTAAATTCTTTCTTAATTATAAGTTTGTGCCACCTCCAGATCTTTCAAGTATTATGGAGGATATAAAATACTATATAATTGTAAAGTTTGAAAATATCCGAGTGAATAGATCCAGAGTTATGACTAATTTTCTAAACTTTTGCGCTTTCTGCTAATATATTTATATATAAGTATTAAGCGAAGCGTAGTGTCACATAATTTAAAGTAAATTCTTTCTTAATTCTAATTTTGTGCCACCTCTAGATGTTTTAAGTATTATGGAGGATATAATATACTATAGAATTGTGAAGTTTGAAAATATCATCATGGTCAGGCAAGAGAGATTTTAGATTTTCAGCAGCCAACTGCCATTCGCTCATCTTTTCAAGTACTTTCTTAATGTTTGTCCACAAAATACGAAATACTTTATATGTAGTCAATTGTGATGAAAGTGTGAATATTCAGCATCTTTTTACTCATGTAAGTTGCTAACAAGACACAAACTGAGTTTCTTACAGGGCGATATGCAGATCAATTTCACATCATAATCATTCATTTCCGACGCCCTCTAGTGCGCAAGACCATGAAAGTTTTAATCTTTTAATACTAATATTGTCAGCTGAAAGACAACTTCAAGATAGTAGAGACGTATGATATAGAGAAAACATAGGGATCAGCCATGAAATAGCCCATCCTAAACTAAAGGAAAAACGAATATAAACTTGCCATATGAAGATCTATCTTCTGATTATTCTTTTACTTTTTCAGTCTCTTTATCTTAATTTCATACGATTCATCTCTACGTCATTATTCATCATACTTTATATTCATGTCACGATCGTTTACTTACATAAAATGAAATTAATTAATAAGCCGTTTTTACTTATTAGCAGCTAAAATAGTTAGAAAAGATCAGGGCCGGTTGCACGAAGCCTGGATAGGGTTATCCATTGGATAAAAAAATTTTTACACTTGTAAAAAAGATGTTTATATTTTTTTAAGACAAAGAAATTTTGTAGTCCCTCGAAACAATATTTTATTTCAGTGAATGCACAGTTCAAATCTACCCAGTGGATAGCTATGGTACCTAGTCATTTCTATGTTTTACGGGGGGTCGAAGCGTAAAATTTGTCGGCAAAGTGGGCGTGGTATGGTCTTGGTTTGGACTTAGCATTAAGTGAAAATATAACGATAGATGACCAATTTTTGCCGACAAAACGATGATTGGGCGAATCTCGCACCCATGATCCACCATTCGCGACTGCTCTGATATTCTGTTCTAACACAGTTACATTTTCAATTCTGTCATGTCCGCATTTGTGTAATTTGGTGACTTCCCTAGAGCGGTTCATATTGTATTACTCATAGGCTAAAAGCGCAATGATATCATTCTCGCATCATGCTATGCGCTCAGTCACGGTGCTTTACCTTAAAAAATGGTGTTTGAAGCCAATGTTCGATTTTCTCGCCGCACACTTCATAATACTTCCACAACTCATAACGTACGTCAACGTTCTTCAGTATTTGTAGAAGTTCATCTTTACAAAACTTATTGCCTGAAATCACTTCTCTGTATTCCACGAGTTCGTCCAAATCATTCATATAACCTCTAAATGTTCTCCGAAGCTAAAGCGAAAAAAAGTTGAATTTGACTACCGAAGACATGTTCGACAGTTTCGAAATATTCTTAAATGTGAATTCTCTCCCTCTAGCAAGAAATCTACGATAAAACTAAGCTGAAATTGTGAATTCTTTTCTTCCGGAAAGAATTCTCCGAAAACACTTTCACTGTGCCATAATTGTGAATTCTTTTCTCGCGAGAATTCGAGAGTTCCGTGAAAACAGTTCGTGAGTTCAGTAGACATGAAAATCGGCAATCTTTACCTTCATTAAACTTAATATCATCAACGAGGAATTGTTCTCAGAAATCAAGAACTCTCCGCTTGTTGCCCTTTTACCAACAACACGAGCTTGATGCTCAACAGACTAAAAAGAACACATTCAATAAACAGAGATGAGCAAGATGTCCTCTCCTGATACATAGACTCTATTGTTATTGAACATTATGTAAGTTTGTAAATTATTTATGATTATTAAATCCTTTTTCTATGTTATTATTTACAGTTTGTTTCTATGCACAATATGATGTGAGATATTACTGGGCAATAAGTTAAATGAAATGACAAAACTTTATACAATCGAATATAATACACATAGTTTAAAACAAAAAAAAATTTGTTAACCTAGACTTAGAAAATTATCGTATCCCTTCACATCACCACGTCACGTCATGGAATCAGAGGTGTAACTAGAATGTTAATTGGGGGAGGTGTATATTCATGTATTCAGTTGCGCCCTACCGATTTCTTTTGAAATTCAATTCACTCTCAAAAGAAATCAGTAAGGCACAACGGATTTTATAAGAATATGCCCCCACACACACACCTCAATTAACGTTCTAGTTACTCCTCTGTATGGAATAACTATGTATTGACAAACTTATCACATCACATATACTGTTTTATCGTTTTCATTTTAAAAATAGTGTAAATATACCAAAATATTTTACCATAATCTTATCATCAAGGTCACACATTATTTCAGGAATTTTATAGACCAAGAAGTTGGAAGCTTCTTCAAGACAAAAAAGTAATTGTTCCCAAGATAAGCAAGTCTGATAGGAAAAAAATATGATAAAATAAACAAGCATTATTAATTTGATGAAATAACTCAGATGAGATTTATGCAATCTACATACAGCATCTTCAATTTCTTTCTCTTTTTCAGACAAAGGTCGCTGGCTAGCACGAATCATCTGAACATAGTAATATTACTATAAGTAAAATATCATTTTTGTAATAGTTAAATATTTTTATAATTTCACAAAAATATTGGCATGAAACCTATATAATACCTCAAAAATGCTTTTCATATATTCCACCTCAACTTGTAGAAATGACACTTTCTTTTTTTATTTTACCATGAACTTTGATGAAATTGGCAAAATTCTCTAAATCGGTACGCCTATCGGACAGTTGCTAAAAAAATATTATACTAAGGTAAATTCCGGCAAATTTTTGAACAATTGAGTTTCATTTCGTGTCGGATGAAGGGTTAAATGATTCGATGTTTCCTCAGCATAAAAACAATAAATTTATAAACAAATAAATAACGCTAATGATCTAAAATTTACATAGCAGGACCAAACCTTACGGGCTAACAACGCAACTACTAAAAATGCTACGTAGTTTCCGCGACTAACGAATCATGGAACATCTACGCATGTCATAACTTGTTATTTAGTTATCAATGTTATTTAGTTACGTGTTTTTAGTTGTAGATCATCCAGGTTAGTAGAGTTTTTAGCAGGACTGCTGGTGTTGATGTTGACTGACGTTTTGACAACCTGAGCGGTAGTCATCTTCAGAGTTCATGTGTCATTGCGTGTAGAGGAAATGTGTCGGTGTGGGGGCATCAATTGTGTATTGTCATCGTAGAATAGGCTCAAGTAAATAAATTGCTCGTTCGTTTGAGGTTGTGAATAAGTCGTTTGTAAGGTGTCGGTAATTGTTGTGATCTGTTTAGTGATTAATGTTCTAATATTACTAATATTACTTAGTTTTTGCCAAATGCGTAGTTACGTGACGTTGCAAGCTGCTATTTTGCGTAATGTTGGGTTATGTAATATTTTAAGATGTTATGATGTTGCTGTATGTTGGGTTACGTATGTTGTATAATGTAATGTTGCTCTACGTTGGGTTACATAAGTGATATTGTAAGTTTTTGTAATGTTTCCGATAACGGGCTTACACGATGTTATAGCTAAGTTGCTACAATGTTGCTGAATGTTGAGTAACGGAAACTTTATCAAATATTACACTGCAAACAGTACTTCCGCAGTAAAAAATGGCATGTTGATAAAAACGTATTACCTTAACAAGCTGTTGAGCCTCGTCAATGAACTTCTTCGACATCCTCATAAGATCCTTTGCAACCATCTTGGAAAGTTGTCGAAAAATGGAACCAAGTTTCGGGACGATGCTATCTCTGATATTTCGGCAATCAACCATTAAAAAAACCATTAGTTGTGCAGAATGACTTCGTGAACTGTTCTAATTCTACCATCCAGGTATTAATCTGTCTAAGTTGTTTCTAAAAAATGTACATAGAAAAATGTCAGTTAATTTCCATGTTTCTTCAGGTTTCTCAGTCAAACAGGCTGCTGAATGAATTTTGGATCATTTTTAAAAGCATATTAATAGCATATTGATGAAAACTCTTCCCTGGAGACTTATTTTCAATTGATGATACATGGCATTTATATTACATCTTGCATCCTTGAAATACAGTGCGGTGAGGGAGGGGAGGGAGGTTGTAGTGGATGACGAATAATCTCCACTGGACAAGATGACAAGGATCAGATTGAACTTTCACACGAATATTCTTGACCAAAAACTGAGATGACAAAGCCGATGTGACAAAAGCGTCACAGTGACAACGGCTGTATGAAGCTGGACTGTATAATTATGTACAATTTCATTTTCTCCTTTCTGTTTCCTATTTAACTTTTCGTCATCCAGTAAAGTTGAAATTTTACGCGGTATAAAAATGGTGGTGTGCTGAGGTTGAGGTATATGCTCGAGGTATAATAAGACTTTTGGTTTAATATTTGTGAGTAATATACGTATTGTTATACACCTTATACTATGCAAAGAAATCTGGTCATAATCATGTTCAACATCTCCTAACATGATATGAACGTACCTCAATAACTTCCGTCGGCCTTCCACGCCATGAATTTAACACGGTATTATTCCAAGTCCGAACAAATTTATGAACCTCAAAGAGTCTTTCGTTGCTCCTTCAGAACTCGATCACTTATGCAGATGCAGCATTGACAATTTCCTCCTGTTTCCGAAAGCCATGAACGATATCTTCACTAAAAGATACAAACGAATATCTCAAATGGATGGAATAATCTAACTAGATAGTCAGTAATGTCTGTCGGACGAAAGAAATATATAACATAAAATATTGCCACTATGCAAGTACGCGGGACCGTGAGAACAACAAATTTCAAAGAATTGAATAATGGTAAACTTCTGAAGTTTACACATAAAAAGTTAATCTGTAGGCTGGCTACGCAACTGAACATATTCAACTTTAGTATTACCATACAGTAGGCTAATCTAGCCACCATGAACGAAAACGTTGATGAGGAAAAAAGACCTGTTTTTTTTTAATTGCAAAAAGTACGTAGCTACAGTATCATATTAACCTACATAGTTTGCAATCAATCTATTTTTCAATTACCAGCACTTTTCTTAAAAGAAAATGCATGGTTAATGGAGATAAATATAAGATAACTGCTTTCTCAATAGAAATATACGCTAATATATACGTAGACAATAATATGCAGGAGCGTAGGGAAGGAAAGTGAGTTAAAACATAGACAGTAGGTAACAGAAATAACTTTTTCGTAGATACAAAATCAAGTTAGTAGTGCAAGTTATTTTGAAAAACTCTCCGCTGGTCTTTGAGAGCGCTTTATATCACGCAGTATTCAACTTTGTGCTTACTTCTAAATCGCTGCGACACGTTTGACGACGCCTATGTAAAAAACACAGGCCAATTTTACAGGTATAAATTAACTATTGCATTCCGCTTCAGTATCATAATGTTAACAAAAAGATCTGAATACATGGTTAGTTCGTATGAAAGCATTCGTGGAGATTTACTAGTTGTACATTTTGATATGATAAAAAAACAAATGAAAATTACACAAAAATGCTCTTCTCTCAATGCAAAACTTACTCTTTGAGAAGAATATTCTTAAGTTTCTCATATGCAACAGGGCTGGTGGATGCCTTCACTTGCAATTGCATTGTTTGTCCTTGCACAATCATACCAGGTCTTGTTTGAATTATTGACTCCACTTCCATCGATATTTCACAATAAACAACTTACTTTATTAAAAAATTCCAGTGCCAAAGTGAAATTACTTTTCTTTACAAGATATGTAGCCTTGAAAGAGAAATGAAAAACATGACATGACAAAATTGCATGGATGTTTTCTATGTACTTTGTGTACTTTGTGTATATAAACAGTGCATCAATATTCTCTGAAGTTGGAAAATATTATATTGAAATATTGAAAATTGTAAAGTCTTTATGAGAAAACATTAACATACTCCTGCAAAGCCTCATCAAAATATTTTATGGATTCCTTAATGGCAGAATCTCGTGTACTTGTAAGATCAATCCATCTACGTAAAATAGTTCCCTGTATGAAAGAAGACAGGTTAAATTGTGGTTATGATGTGAAAGGCATGTTAAGAAAACCTCTTTCGAACCATTGGACATTTTCAACATTCTGTCAACATATTTTCTTGCTTTTTCATGACGTCCTGTGTGCCATAAAAACATTGCACCAAAGTATAGTGCATTCTCACCAACACTTGTTCGAATCTTTTTCAATCTTGTTTCCAATTCATGTACACTTTCCTTGTCAATTAATTGTGCCTTTTTATGTGCATAGATTAATGCCATCAAACAACACAGAACAACTTCTTCACTTTCTTGGATTCAAATTCTCTAATGGCTTCTGACACACGATCTGCAAGTCAATGTATTAACCATTATGAAGTATTGACAATACAGTATATTTTAATAAATATCATTGGATCATTTTAAATACAAAGAAATAGAGCTTTTAAGCAAGCACAAGCTAGTTTAGTGATGGATAAGAGACCAACCACTATAAATTGACATAAATTCTGCTGGCAGAATGTAAAGCTTCATATGTGAAATGACAGGAGACAAAATAAAGTGAAAATTTTCTTATTTGAAGGGTGCAGTATACACAGACAGTTTTAAAACAGTCAGAATGCATCAAATGACAAAGTACTAGTAAAAATGGGACAATCAATTACGAGAAAATCTAGAGAAAACCTGTTGCCATGGACTACGCAACGCAACAACGGCAGAATGAGAACGACAATACTCCACATTTTAACAACAAACCTTACATCAGTATTCCAAATGCTTTCCAAAATGTCAAAACCGGATCACCTCCGTGCTTCTGCAAACCTTGCAAACACAAGTTTTGTAGGTGCCTGTAAAATCTTGCTCGACAATAATAGTTGATACTGCCCTGTTGCCAAGTAAAATATTGCACTTGCTTGAGTCAAAATATAATTTATATTTCTGCAACTAATGTTAGAATTATCTATAAGATGAAACATACCAGTATTAGAGTATCTGTAGATGCCATAGTCATTCGTACGAATTAATAGTACAAGCTAGCCAGACTGGAAAGTATGCAAACTGCGCAAGCTAGATCAATTTTTTTTAGAAATTTTGCGCGGCGGATTTTCAATTTTGCGCGGCGGATATTCGACTTTGCGCTGCGAAGCCATAAAATATTCGCGAGATGCCAGTTTTATTTTTTCCGTATCACACTCCATTTTTGATAGTTTGCAATTGCAAATAATTATGAAACATAACATAAAAGATGATACATGTGTATAGCTGTAGCTTACCTTAAGTTGGAGCTTGCAACTCTCCTTTTACAACGTGAGGATGTGTCATGTGTAATCACAAAAAAATGCCACTTTACCTTAGGTATTATGTAACGAGTCGAACGACCAACGTACCACGTATGTTTATCATTCATCTGTTTCATCGTTTCATCACAGCGTATGATACGATAAAAGGTAGACTCCAAATAAATTTGATTTACTGACGTCGTCAAATACGTCGTCGAAAAAAAAATCAATCAGGAACCATCTTTTGTATAATCCGCAGCCAGATTGTGGAGTAGAAGGTTTTTCAGTTAATAATTGTTTATAATCAGCAGGCAGATGGTGGACAAAAAAGGTTTTTCAGTTAATAATTGTTTATAATCAGCAGGCAGATGGTAAGCAGGGGAGGTTTTCAGTTGATAAATATTTATAATCTGCAGCCAGATGGTGGACAAAAAAGGTTTTTCAATTAATTGTTTATAATCAGCAGGCAGATGGTGGACAAAAAGGTTTTCAGTTAATAATTGTTTATCATCAGCAGCCAGGTGTTAGACGAAAAGGTTTTTCAGTTAATTATTGTTTATAATCAGTAGCCAGGTGGTGGACAAAAAGGTTTTCAGTTAATCTTTGTTCATAATCTGTAGCCAGGTGGTGGACAAAAAGGTTTTCAGTTAATCTTTGTTTATAATCAGCAGCCAGGTGGTGGACAAAAAATATTTTTCAGTTAATCTTTGTTTATAATCAGCAGCCAGATTGTGGACAGAAAAGGTTTTCAGTTAATAATTGTTTATAATCAGCAGGCAGATGGTAAGCAAGGGAGCTTTTCAATTGATAAACAATTACGATCTGCTGCCAGATTTGGATTGAAAACTTTTTGATTATAACTGCACGAAGCATACTGGTTGACGCTTGACTAAGGTTACAAGAGGAAAGGTAGCTTAGGGCGTGATGTTATGATGCGTTGCAAAACCTTGGACATCTCTCCTTCGTGTTTTGCCATGCTCGTCGGTCTCTAAAACAGGAATCATATGTCTGGACAAACCACGTTCCTTGTCCCCATTGATGTAAAGTTTTGCCATTTCGTTCAGTGCTGCGTCGCATTGAAGTACAGATGGTAAACTCCAATCAACTTTAGCACGATTCATTAGCACTTTTATGCTTTGCCCACCATCCATTTCTTGCTTATCCACCACCCGGTAAAAAGATTCGGCAACAGCCTCAGTTCCGTATTTCGCATAAAATATGTCAAAGACGAGACAAAACTCTTGGCCGACAGCTGAATAAAATGAGGAATCGTTATATAAAGATTCAATAACGGCCTCTTCTTTAAAAAGAACGTCAATCATTTTACCATTGTTGAGCGTCACTTCGAGGACCTCAGAAAGGGTGAACTGCCTTGGTGTACCTTCTTGGAACCTAGTCACAAAGACTCCTTCCTCGAAAACCACATCCTGCAAGGAAAAAATTCCTTCGTCATCGAGAGACATCTTCTTGAAAAAATTAGGGAAGTGAGTGTGTAGCATATCACCCCAAACAACGGCAATGAGTGTTTTCTTTAGACGCCAAAACACTGTGGATGATAGCTCGCTACAAAGCTCAAAATTCTTTTCAGAAACATGTGGCATCTGTGAGGAAAAGTTTACACATCGTCTAAACTCATTAGCTCCAAGTTCAGAAAACTCCCTGTTGTTTACTGGACTTTTTTCTTCCGAACGAAAACCGCATAAACCACGAAAAAGTCGTCCAAAGTCAAAACACTTTGATAGCATTCTGTTGAGGTCGGAAAAGCTATTGGTGTAGCAAACATCAATCTGACTAATGACATCCGCAGCCAGCTTCTCTAGATCATGAACACTGTCCTGCATTTCTCTTGCTACCCAATCCACTGACACTTTATCGTCGCCTTCTCTAACGACAAACCAACCAGTTTCCAACTCACTTTGCCCAAAGCGGTAATCTCGAATTTCATGAACTCGCTGGCTTAATCTTGGGCAAACAAAGTCATCAGGATCAATTTTAGATACTTCCTCGATGTAACGTTGCATCTGTCGTTTTACCAAAGGAACATGAGAGCACAACTTCCAACCAGGATACCACTCAGCCTGCGCTTGCAGCATCAGGACGACCAAGGGCCACAACAAATCGAGTACACCAAGCAAATCATGGACAAAGTCTTGACCACATAACTTGTAACCCATCTCTTCTCTATTGTCGTGGTCCTTGAAAGTCTCGATGTACACTTCCAAACTATCTGCCAGATTCTTTAAAGATAGCTGGAGCTCAAAAACCGCTGATGTGCAAATGCGTTGGTTACTCGAAACGGAAGATTCAAGTCCTTAGCAGTATGACGCGCTACGCTGTGCATTTTACCACGACTAAAAGTTGATGATAAAGTGCAATCCTTCTCAGCAAACGATCAACGAAAGGCGAGTCCTTGAGCTGACTAAATACTTTATCTAACCAATGGGCAGGGTCCCATTGGACAGGCCACCAGAATCTTTCTTTGCAGGACAGATCATCATGCAAAAGTTCAAATACAGGCTCGTTCATGCCTGCAATGAACGGCTCGTTGACGTATTGTCCATCCATCACTCGCCCTTGCACTTGCAGTAGCCGATTATCCTTAATACCAACATGCACGTCAAGATCTTTAAAAATGGATGCAGCTAGAGCATCACCTGTACCACCAGTTGCATCAGAGTTACTGTAAACCTCCCTTGCGTCAAGACAATGCCTCGGCGACTACCATTTACAACTGGACAAACGATAGTAACCTGATTAGTGATGCGATGATTGGTAGATTTATCAGCTGTAACATAAAAATGTGGGGGCATTCCTGTGTTTGGAAGAGGGTAGAAAGAAAATTGGCTGCTCTCATGTCGATGTAAGCACATGCTGCTTTGATCATGTCTGGAAACAATTTTCGAGAATGACAAAAATCACCAACATCCGCACCAGCAGCTTGAAGCTCAGCAATTCGTGCTTCATAATGAACTGCAGCTGACTTTGTTTTCACAACACCAAGAGCTGCACAGAGTTGATTCTTTGCAACAAGTACTTCCCTTGACCTCCCTTGCTTTACCATCTTCATGTGGTCATCAGCGTTTTGTGGGTCAAAGAAAGAAGATGTCGATGACACGCTTGCTTTTGGCTGTACCATTTTTCACACTTGCCTGCAATTAGCTGTTCATACAAGGCATCTGACATATGTAAACCAGATGCCAAAGATCCGTCTGCTTTGCCAGTAGGTCGATTAAAAGATGACGAAAAGGAAACAAGGGAAGAGTTTAAAAATTCGACACACGTTCGACACTGCAGCACCCAGCTGTTCTCTTCTTTTAGTATTTCAAAATCTTCCACTTCATCCACAAGCTCAATCAAATTGGAAGATCGAAGTGCGGTACTCGATGTGGAATTGTATGTAGTTGTTGAACTTGTTGATTGGCTGATTTAGGGTTACCACTCAACTTTTGTGCCACCTTAGTAGCAATTTTTTCCGCAAGTTCGTCCTCATCAAATTGCAGGTCGCCTTGCTCACTTGATAAAATTGAAGGAAGAAAACTTCCAAGCGAGCTTTGATAGCTAAGACGGCTGGTGTTTGAAATAGAGGCAGCCTTACTCGTCTTACTTACTGCATTAACTCTCACAATCTCTTCGCTGTAACAATGAAAGTGTTAAAAGCCAACATTAAAATTTTCTTGAAAACTGTGTGAAAAGTATATGTACTAAGAAATTCAACAGAAGACGTTGAAATACTTAATGATTTCATCGTTAATATTAAACGACTTAAGAAATTTGTAATGTAGAAATTACTTATCCGAACAAGTGAATTATTGGAAGCCTTGAACTAAAAGTCAACACTTTCAACCACTATGGCATAAATTTCACAAAATATCGTGACAAAATGTCGTAAAATCTGATACTATAATGCAAGAAAAATGCCGTATTTCACTAACAAACCTCTCATCTTTTTCATCGGTTTCCTCCCAACTTTCAGATTCACTGACACCAGAAACGATTTTGCACGAAAGTTCGTCAGTTGCATGTCCAGCCGTATCCTTACCAAGCTCTCTGAAACAATTTAATATTCATAATTTTAAAAAGCTATCACTGTATATGTAAAAGAAATGTATTATATAACATGTATGCAGTTTGTGATATTCGGTTATTTTATGGTTCACGCAGGGGAATGAGCAATTTAGCTACCTTTCATCGACTTCCATAATTTCTATCCGTTCTCCCATTCCGTCGCCACCACACTTTTGTTGCACTTGGCTTGTACTGAAAATACAATTAACATAGAAAACATACACAATGTAAGTGCAGTTCTCAATTTGGGAATTGGGAACTTGATTTTCATTTACCTAGCCGATTTAAGCATTTTGTACGCCTGTAGCGCAGATTTAGCAAGAGGGAATCTTCTCTAATAGCGTCATTTGCTAAGGTCTTTTCGCCCTTGTCGCTGTGAGTTTTAAATGGTTTGCTAGAGAGGACTTGTTCCTCTAGCAAGCCAAAATTACGTTTGCCTTGCCTAAAACAAAGTAAGCAAAAGCCCATTGGGGTTTTTCGTGTCCACTCTTTGCTCGCTTTGCTTCAGGTCCTGTTTTCTGCTGCTTGCTATGTCTTTTAAACATGTTGGCAAACTGAAACTCTATAACACACAATTTTATGGTTACAAATGTGTCGATAGCCAATCTTGGTTGTTTACTATTGTTTTATAAAACCCACTGACAATGTCATGCCACTTTTCTTTGTGACGCAAACACGATCACTCTTACACGACTAACATTCTAACACTAGATAATTGTTCTGTTACCTTCCTTAGACAGTGTTTGCTGCTTATTTTTAGCCACTGCTGCTGTCTCAGTTTTTGCACAGCCACTACACAAGACCTGGGCACCAAAACCTTCATCATCACCTGCTGATGTTGAGCAAGGCGGAATTGCGTGGCACGTTTTTTTGCAAACTTTGCAAAAATGGCTTCCACATTCCTTGCATGAAACGCAAACTAGTAATTAGGCAACAACAATGAAAACATAAGTTAAGATAATGTAATGAACGTTTTTTTGGTATCAAAGGCAAGCAGCACTAGTTTTTAGCAACACACAAATGTTGGTTTGGTACTGTTAGTGAGAAGAGAATATTGTCGAGGAATCACCGAATAAGCTCCTGCAATCAACCAATGGCTGATATATATTGTGTATATTGTTGTTAGGAAAATTTTCGGCTATTGTAACGCGTGAATTTACCTGATTTAACTGCTTGAATCTCAGCCATCTAGTAAAAATAAATAAACAATTAGATAAAAAAGTTTGTCAAAAAATCTCGCTTTATCACCAAACAATAGCGAGCTAAGCCCTGTTAGTTCGTTAGCAAACCGGTTTTAATTATAAATTGCTTCATTTATCAATATGTTTTATGTAAGGATTGTGAATTTTATTTGCCTTAAATGTATTAAAACATGCTTTGTAGTTTGTAATACAAGAAATCCTTTCGTACCACTACTTTTAGGTTACACAAAAAACATAACTGTTAAATAATAACTTGTTTCCCCGGGCGTTTAGTGTTAGAAGCGTTAATGCTTTCAGAATTTTTATCATTTGTAATTTTGTATCAGTACTTTTGATTTTACTAAACCATTACGTGTACTCACCTTACAAATTTGAACACCCCAAGTTGGTTTAATTAAATATCACGTATCACCGTAGAATACACCGAAGAATCGATATGGTTTGCCTTGAAGTCACTTAAAAAGAGAAAGCTCGAAAAACGAAAGCAAAGAATGTGTAGTTAATCTGCACAGATATCATATTTCTAGTCATCAAACGCTTATTGGCTTACCAACCAATTAACGGAACTTGCCTGTCAAAACAGCTTGTAAGATTGACATTCAACAGGCAACAATTTTTTTCAACGGAAACAACAGCGCTGCAGCGCACAAGTGCTGATATTGCGCAATAATTTCTCGCGCTGGGCGGCAAATTTCACAAATGCGCGGCGAACAAGAAATTTTTTAAAATCTGCGCGTCAGGACGCGCATTTCTCCCGAAATTGCGCAAGCTAGATCTAGGTTGCGCAAGACATACTTTCCAATCTGGCAAGCTAGATTTTTGTGTTATCGTTTTCTGCCATTTGCTGACATCTCTTTATCACGATGTGTTGACTCTCGGCCCAGGCTACTTCTATGTGCGCGCGGTCAAAGAAAATTCATTACAACAAGAAGCATTGAAACGGCGAGAAAAGTTAAAAGCATTGAGGGAGAAGAGTGCTGCTGCTGCTGAGGTATACTATTGTCTTAATTGTTTATTTCAACCGTCTGGTTCATCGTATCATTTTTTTGTCAAAGCCAATTACTGTACTCTCAAAATGACAATCATCAATGTATCTACTCAGCCTATATTCTCAGTATTCTGAAAAGTATGCCTTTTTTTAACGAGATCTTCAGTTTTGTATAATGGCATTATTGTAAACTGCTTTATACTGCGCAGATGCACACAATGCAATCAATAGTACTGATCCATCAGTAATCTTGAAATTCAATATAAAATTATAAATGTTGGTTTGGTTACACAAAAAACAAAACATGTGTTTCTTGCGTGTAAAGGTATTTTCACTGTTTTGTTTTAAAATCTCCATTCTATTTTGTGCACTGCAATTAAGAATGCTTTGCACATTGTTCCATTATCAGTCAAAGTTTTGGATGACTTGTATTTTCCATACAAACACTAGAAACAGAATGTGTTTGATCTTTAGGGAGGTCGCGTTGAAAAGAGAGGAGTCAGTGACAGTTCAAAAGAAAGCGAGTAATGCATTCATTGTGTTTGTATGTTTTGATTGTCAATATAGGCATGATATTGAAAGAAAAGTAATGCCTGGCATTTAAATTTTTTGGCTAGCCAACTAGAATTTGCCTTAATTTGGCGACAAATTAAGTAAGAGATGTATACTTACATATTACTGAGAATATTACTAGCATAAATTATTGTTGCTCACTATCTTTCAATGATGGCTTGCTTTGGCCATACGTACCTATTAATTCAAACCCAGCATAAATTAATATACCTTTGTAATCACATTCACTCATTGTTATGTACATATATATATATATGCTTATACACTTTGTAGAAATGTATAAATAAGTTTGAAAATTTGTAATCCAGGCATTGAGTACATAAAAGACAAAAGTTTCTCCGGAGAAACTTTTATCTTTTATGTAAGTATATATAATAATAATAATAATAAGGACTTTATTTGAAGAGGGGGACACGTAACAGCTGAAAAGCTGACAAACCTGTGGCCCTCTAACTAGATTATACAGCATTACAAAAAAAAACTGATAAATGAATAAATATATAAATAATTACAAAATTCTATGATAAAAATAGCAGGACACATAAAAAATATTCAGAAAGATAAAATTAATTTATAAAAAATTAAAATTAAAATTAGGTAGTGTGCTATTGCTTAATATTGTTTCAAAGTTGTCCAGGTTTTATATGAGCTTATAAAATGCTTTTCACAGCTGTTTTGAATAGATTTATACTAGGCTTTTTGATATCATGGGAAGGCTGTTCCATAACTTAACTGCGTCAACACTGAATGCCTTGCCACCATCGTTATTTCTTAGGTATTTGGGACACACTAAATTTAAATTGCCATGTCTCGTGGACCTATTGTGAACAGAACTGTTCGTCTTGAACAAATCTTTGATATAAATAGGAACATCGCATTTGAGGCTCTTAAAAATCATGGCACATTTGTTTAGTTTTATTTCGTCAAAAAAAGGCAACCAGCCTAGTTTACTAAAGTTTACAACACTTCTAGAATAAGGGTCTACTCCAAGAATTACTCGGGCAGCCCTTTTCTGTAACCTTAGGAGACAGTGGAGTTCTTTAACGTCGCAGGTATTCCAAACCATGCTCCCGTACATAAGGACGGGTTTAATCAAAGCGTTGTAGTATAAAAGTCTTTCTTTTATTGGAAGGTATCTCGTTATCTTTTTCAATAAACCAATACGCAGAGAAAGCTTGGCCTTTAGGCTAGAAATGTGGTCACTAAATGTAAGATCTTGATCGAGTGTTACACCAAGCAATTTATAAGAGGTTACTTGTTCTATTTCAGCCCCATCAAGGGTTACTGACAGGTGATTGCCATCAACTAATGATGAATGTAGCCTCTTTCCGGTGATAAGTAATGCTTTGGTTTTAACAGCGTTTAGGACCATCCCATTTTCGCTAGACCATTTACTTAATTTATCCATGTATTCTTGAAGACGTCGTTCCAATTCCAAAGGTGCATTATCGATATTAGCGCTGGCTTTAAATGTGGTGTCATCCGCGTAAGCATGAATAGTTGAGTCCGATCCAACAGCTTCGGGAAGATCATTGACGAAGATTAAAACAGTAGAGGTCCTAATATGCTACCTTGAGGAACTCCATTGGTTAGCATAAGTTGTGACGAAGTCGAGTTATTTACAGTGACACACTGTTTGCGATTGAGTAGATAGCTCTGCAATAGCTTTACAACATTATCTGGAAATCCATATGATCTTAACTTTACTAGGAGAATATCATGATTGATCAAGTCGAATGCCTTGCTATAGTCCACAAAGACTAAGCCGCTGACATTGTTTTTATCAAGGTCAAGAAGGACTTGGTCCAGAAGAAACAACAAAGCAGTATCCGTGGAGTGGTTTTTACGGAACCCTGATTGGAAGCGGTATAAAAGTGCATTTTCTGTTAAGTAGGTGTTCATTGCATTGAAGATGTGTCTTTCAAAGACTTTAGAAAGAATAGGCAAAATACTAATAGGACGATAGTTTTGAATATCTTGCTTGTTTCCTTGATTCTTGAATAGTGGTTTAACCTTTGCTATTTTCCATTGTGAGGGAAATGTACAAGTTTCAATACAGTGATTTATAATTTTAGCTATGGAGCATGATATTTCAGGAGCTGCAATCCTTAGAACTCTAGCACCAAGCCCATCGATTCCCGTGGCTTTGTGTGTAGGTATACTTAGAAGATAATCGTTAACCTCACTAGGAGTTATTTGCGGAATAAGATTCTCAATTTGACTGTTAGATTTGTCTTGTGGACCAGGAAGAGCATCATAATAAAGTATAGGTGCCGCTTTTATGAGACGTTTATATACATCAGCGAAGAAGCGGTTAAAGCGTTCAGCGATTGAATGGTCATCCTTTATCAGGTTGTTGTTTTCGTCAGCAATAGGGACGGAGTCGTCATTATTCCTTGTATCTTTAGATAGGTCTTTAATTAAAGACCAAAGTTTCTTTGGACATTTTTGATTTTTACTGAACTGAGTTTTAAAGTGCTGTTCCTTCGCATTTCTTAGTTTCCTCGTCACTCTGTTTTTAATCAGTTTAAAAGCAGACCAATCTTGTTCATTTTGTGTTCTCCTGGCCCTCTTTAGAAGATTATCGCGTTTATTTATTTCGTTGTATAGATCATTAGTGAACCATTTCGGCTGATTGATTTTCTTCACACTCTTGAACTTTAAAGGCGCGTGATTATCAAGAATGTCATTAAAGGTTTTGTACCAAGATTCAACAATGTTATCGGCATCTCGAAAAACAAAGGAGATATCCCAAGGGGCTTCTCTTAAGTCTCGTAGAAAGCATTCTTTGTTTATTTTGTCGATATTTCTGTATTTGATTTTGGAATGTTGTTTACGTTGTCCATCCATGGTTTTGTAGCACCTCAAGATAGTGACCGGCAGGTGATCGGAAAGTCCAGATTTACCTATGGCTACTTCTCTAATTCTAGCAGGATGACTAGAATAAATATGGTCTAAGCACGCATCAGAGGCAGGTCTTGTTACTCTATTTACCATCTGCGTTAATCTAAGACTGTTCAGTGTCTTTGCGAGACAATGTTTTGAATAACAGTTGAAATCAATATAATCTAAATTGAAGTCTCCCAGAATAATCAATTCATTGTTTTGGAGATGGGCATTTTCAATATTTTTACCCAAACTCTCATTATAGTCTTTGTTGGCTGAAGGTGGACGGTAAACACCAGATATCAAAATCGGTCTCTTTGATTTATGAGGACAAATTTGAAGCCAGAGAGTTTCAAGATCATCCAGTTCCAAATCTCTTCGACGTGAAGCCATAACTTTCTCATTTACATACGCAATTATGCCGCCACCTTTCTTCCCGATTCGATCTTTTCTGTGTAATGTGTAGCCGGGTATCATGTAATAGCTGTCTGGAATTTTACTAGATCCGAACGTCTCAGTGAGAATTAAGACGTCAAGTTTAGCAGCACTGTTGTTGTTCGAGGTGAGCATTAGAGATAGTTCTTCCAATTTGGTGTCAGTCAGTCTTTGAATGTTCCAGTGGCAAACTGATAAGCCTCTGAAGCCTACAGGAGGTTGAAGGTTATTAGGTCCTGGATTGACGGCAATATCGCCAGATAGAAGAATACACAGACAAAATTGGCCAAGTTTGACGAACCGCAACAACGCCTGCAGCTTCAAATTCAAATCGCAAGGTGTGCATTTCGAAGGCTTTGACTTACAGTCGAACGTAGGTGGAGCAGATATTTCCTTCCCAATGAAGAATCTGACTGTAAAGCGATCGAATTCAGGTGTAATTGAAGTAAATTGGCCAAGTAAAAGGCTGATAATAGTTAATTGAAGCACGACTGCAAAAACACGTCTGCACGCCATGACTAATTGCGTTCATATAAATGTATAAAAATAAAAGATTCTCCAGATTGTATAAAATAATTTTATTGAGCTTTCGACTTGTTGCTTTGAGCCCTCATCAGAATGAGGAAATATTATTTACATAAGTCTTATTTAACCAATCTTTAAACTTATATATATATATCTTTCATTGTTTTCCTCCTTTCACATTTAGATCTGCTGTGAAAGTTATAAAATTTAGAAACTACCAACCAAAAGATGAAGCACTAAAGGAGCGAAAACTTTCTGGGGCCAAACCACTTTCAGGTTATTTAATGTACAAGAATTGTTAAACATATAAACATGACAATATCAGTTTTTACAAGTGATTTGAAGAAACAAAGTATCTATATATGGTAAAGGATGAAGTTAAATTGCTGTTAATGACAGCATGTACTGTCTCCTTGGTTAACTTAGTGTTTGTAGATGTAGACTGTCCAGGTTAATGCATTTTCTAGAATGACTGTGGGTTTTGATATTGACTGATGTTTTGGCACAGATACTCAAGCCATTAAAACCATTTATTTTGCTTGGTATTATCAATAAGTGAACAAATCCGAAGAAAAAAAACTAGCATTTATAAATGCAAAGTTTTTTTGTAATAGAGCATGATATAGCTACTGGAAGCAAATGATGACATCAAGTTATAACACCAATGCAATTTAGCGTCATACATATTTAGCGTCATAAATGTTTTATTTCATGCACGTTTTTCAATTATAGACGGTAGTTATCGTTCGTTGATACAACAATATTTTGGTCGGGCACGTTATGTGTCTAACTATGCCCCCCCCCCCAAAAAAAAATTCCTACCCCGCGCCAAATTTTCTAGGAAATATGTCCCCCCGTTTTCAAATTTGTCCTCCCCATATGAAAGAAGTAATGAAAAACTTTACACAGTAAAAAATATGTCTTTCTTATTTTAAATAACTGAGAAAATGTTTATTAAAGAGTGTTAGTTCCTTTTACTGCGCTTTGCCGATCACGAAGCACATAAGTAACAATTCATAAAATAGTTTGTTGTTCGTGTACAATGAACATTCAAGCATACAAAACATTCAGCAAGATATCTCGGCGTTTCATTGTGTTTTTGAATGTTTTGTTATGCGGTTTATACTTGTGGATCAACGTTTGGGTGAAATGTGTAAGTCATTTAATGCCTTGCGCTTTTGTATCTGCGGGTTGTTTTTCTGAGTCATTAGTTTAATTACTATGCATTATTGCTATATTCGTCAATGCATGATGGTATCTCTGAATTGTGATGGTTGTTTTGACTGGTTTTATAAAATTTAACTAAATTTATTGATCCAAATAGATTGAAATATCTAAAATCACCTGCGGTCTTGTTTTAAAACTGAAAAGTTTCACTGTTTTTTAAGATAAAGGTAAAAGTTTGTGAGGGGGACAATTTTCCAAAAGTTTTTTTTCACCTATACATAGATAAAGCCTGAAAATGATTAATGTACCATTGTATATGAGCTTTTTTACTGTTCGGTCTTATAACTTTTATCAAACACTTACGTACACTATTCATTAAAAGAAACGTAAAATTCCCATAAGTTTGTCGTAATTGTGTTCAATTTTACTTTAATTATTTTACCTTTTTTCTACTTCCGTTTTATTTTCTGCTACATACTTCTAACGTGTCTCTTGCTTTACTTAATCAAATGTTTTGTAAAGCCACCTCAAAATTTTTTCTGTTGTTTTAGTGGAACAAGAAGTGAAAGAACATGTTGAAAAAGGAAAATCTGATGTTGTAAATGAAGTGGTAAGGATAAAATCAACAGTTTCATGTTCATGGATATGGATAAATATAGAAAAAAAACTTGATAAATAAATACTAAATAAATTCTTTATGAATGAATACTTTCCTGAAACGAATTCTAAATTTACCAAATCAATTGTGATGTACAAATTTCTTTAATTTAGGACTTAAGTAATCTTGCACCCCGAAAACCCGATTGGTAATATAAGAAACACTCCCTAAAGACTGGTAATTTCAAGTATTATCTCTGAACCATAAAAGAATCTTATCATATATTGATAATTAGCACCATACAGAAATTACCCCTTTCGGGTGTTCTTAGTTTCGGGTGTTCTTAGTTTCGGGTGTTCTTAGTTTCGGGTGTTCTTAGTTTCGGGTGTTCTTAGTTTCGGGTGTTCTTAGTTTCGGGTGTTCTTAGTTTCGGGTGTTCTTAGTTTCGGGTGTTCTTAGTTTATGTTTATAAGTCAAATACGGATTTTCAAAAAATTAGTGATAGAACACGATGGGCACCTGCAAAGTCAATAGAATTTGAAACCATAGACTCTTCAGTGAGCTTATCAGTTTTATTTATTTTTTCACCAAGCGCTTAGGTAGCACTTTACAGCCGCTCTTCACGAAGTGAAACTTGACGCCATTTTCTTCAAATGGGAAATCCGCAAATGGGTTCCTTTAAAAATACTACGTACTTAAGTTGAAGAAGGAAACATTACACGGATGTAATATAACTAATGTTTTATGTTGCTAAATGGTTTATTCTTTCTTTCAAAAATCAGGTGAAATATTAACACAAATTTTGGGGAATAGGTTTTTAACTAGAATCACACTGTTCTTTATGTGAAGAATCAGATGCTTCATCAGCAATAACAGAAAAAAACTTACTTTTTTTGATATCAGAAATAATCTGATTACTGATTACCTGGCCACAACATTTAATGATTTTATTTTGACTTGTTTTAGAAATATAACTTCTATTCTTACCACAATTCTTTAAATGATTTTCTAAAACTTTATCCCCTCTCCTAACTCCATAATTGAGTGTTTCAATGAAATTACCAACCCCTCCAGATGAATAACAACCAACAGTAGGGTGATACTTGGAATCATCACGATGCCCACGAAGAGGTAAACCTAGACGTCCACAAAAAATGACAGAATCAATAATTGGAGATAGTATTTCCCTATTCTGTTCTATTTCTTTCTTGTTACCAGCATCCATGATCATCTCGATAGGCTGCAGAGTACCTGATATTTGGGAACGCAAAGCATCAAAAATTGGTGATGTGGATGCATGCAAACCGACTTCCCTCCTTTTACTTTTTCCAGCATGTTGAGTGAAAGAGCATTTTGCATTCTTCCAATCTTGAAGAGGTTCAGTAAACAACTTTTTTACTTTACTGGCCTTGCCTGGGAATCTATTGCCAAACAACACACACGATAGACAATACGCACCATTTTGTGAAGGTGAATAGCAAAGCCATTCATGCTGGTCTAGCCAATCATGCCTAAATGATCTGCCATTAGATTTAGGAAAATGATACTTTTTATCTGGTTTATATACATTTTTTATCAAATGACATATTTCAGAATTATCCATACCCTTAACTTTCTCCCTATACAAGGAAACATCAAAATTATGGGTTAAAACAGCAGGTTGCATATCACCAGAAGTTGGAATACCAGGCAATAGTTCCTGGGATGATGTGTGAAGCAAAAGACTATTGGCTTTATTTAATGTCTGAGCAAGAGCTGCAGCAGAAGAAAAACTCTCATTGGGCATCCTTTTAAAAGTTGGTTGGGCAGCAGGCCTATTAGTTGAAGTAAAAAAATTTGAAATGTCAACTGTTTTTGGTGCAATATTTGGAAAAATTTTGACAAATTTTCGTTTCTCTGTTGTTGAGCTGCTAGAATTAGACTGTGTACAGGAATTAGACAATTTTCGCTTCAACCTGTGGGCATGGAAAATGAGAGGCACAAAATGATTAGACTGAAAAGTCTCACCTGGTTGTACAGATCCTTCATGACAAAACAAAATATTAATAGCATCCAAACCTCTTTGGCTTAATAACCGGGCTGAACAATACGATTAAATAACAATTTATATCTACTTTCACCAGAATCAGGATAAAAGTATGAATTTTTCTACCTAAAACAGAAGATAGGCCCAAAATACAAAGAAAAGATGACCATTTCTGGTCATTACAATTTAAAATAGCCTCCTGTTTTACCAGTTCATCTGTTGTATATCCAGTGTCTAAACATTCTTTAGACACTGACAAAGGCAAAAGATTGTTTAAGCTTTGGGCAAAGTAATCACTGTGCTCACTTATAACAGACAAAAAGCATGGGTGTTGAGCATAAAAGCAGCATGAATAAATAGCTCAAGCGATGTTAAAATTCGCAAAGTAGGGACCAATGCATTGTTACCTACCAGAACTAGGGAAGCTGAACTGTAGAGGCAATTGCCAGAAGCTTCAGATCTTAAAAAATATTCAAGAAAAGAAATTAATATTTTGTTTGGTAGATTGATTGTATTGTATGAATGAATTGCTGACTGTAGACAAAGATATAGCCTAGCGAAATTGAGATTTAACCATTTTACACGTATATATAAATACTACAATACGATATATATAATTATAATATATTTACCTTATTGCAGTACAAGTCTTTCCGTCATGAGCGTGCTTTGGCACATATATTTCAGCTCCAAAATTTCGACACAGAGTATGGTCGGGGTCATAAATTCTATCTAACAGCTGCTCGTTAGTAAACATAGGTCGAACGTCGACCAATAAACGAGAATAAAGCTCATTAAGGCATTTTAAATCGTTTTTGGCCAACGCAGACTGAGCAGTCTCGTATAAATTACCACAACACAATGAAGACATTATAAAATATCACAAAACCGTAAACTGAGCACAGAGGCTGTTCAGAAACAATACGAGTGTATGTTAATTTTCAATTGCCTAATTTGCCTAGCTCAACTATGCTTATCAACAGCAATGATTGGTTGGAATTGCTCAAGTTAGGCAAAAAATTGACCAATGAAAGCATACGGTTGCAAAAATTGCCCAATCAGAATACCTATACACGATGTCAAGTTAGGCAAATTCATCTTGTTTAGGCAAATTGCTAACAACCAATCAAATGGCTAGATCGCCTTCTTGACTTAGGCAAAATGGCTGCTTTGCCTAACGACACGGAGCTTTATAGATAATCATACGCATCTGGACTACGATTCATATCAAAATTACGTCATTTAATTGCACAACATTTCTAAACAAAAGTCAGATCATTTGACTGCGATAAAGTGCTATTCATAGTTTCATAATTCGATAAATTCGTATCGAATCTAAGTCGAAGTATATTTTGGTAATTTCACCATAGGCACTTGCCTATGGTGCCTACCCCTAGATCCGCCCCTGATAGCAACCCTTTTTTTTCTGTTGCTCCTGCGTTGATACAGCTTAACACTTGCATGAAACTAATTGTTGTTTTTCTTCGCACTTATTTTACCCCATTTAGCCGCTTTATTTGCTTACGAGCTTCAATTTCCCAGAAGACACTACGCATGGCGCATGCGTGCTTCGTCATTAATCACCATCTCATTCCAGAATGAAACTCAATTCGTGTTTACATGAGATTAAAGCCTGTTTTCCACTAGCCACGTATCGTAACGTATCGTAGCAAAACGTAACGTATCGTAGCAAGTACAGATACGTTGAATGTTTTCCATTATTCGGCACAACGCGTAATACTATTTTCCGCCAAAGTTCAAAAACAATACAAATATTATTGTTATGGGTACTCTCAGCAAAAAAACTCGCTTGCTTTTACTTTTAAGTAGACGAATAAAGAAAGATAAATATAAAAAATCATATTGGATTCGAAAGCTTTATCAAGAAAGAAAAACTAAAGGAGAATTTTATCTTTTGGTGCAGGATTTACGTTTGTTCGATGATGAATTATTTTTCAGGTATTTTCGAATGAACGCTTCCAAATTTGAGGAATTATTACTTATGGTCGCCCCCAAAATAAAAAAAAACTGCGTGTCTAGAGATTGCATTGGACCAACTGAGATGCTTTGCGTGACGATGAGATATTTAGCAACCGGAGACTGTCAAACGACCATAGCTATGAACTATAGAATGAGTCCAACAACAGTGGGAAGAATCATTTTCAAAACTTGCAGAGCACTGTGGATTGTTCTTGCAAAATTTATAAAGCCACCTACAACTGAGTCCGAATGGATTAAATTGGCTGAAGAATTTGAAATAAAATGGAACTTCCCCCACTGCCTTGGAGCGTTGGACGGAAAGCATGTTGTCATGCAGGCCCCTGCAAATTCCGGTTCAATGTTTTTTAACTACAAAAAAAATCATTCAATTGTGTTGATGGCCATTTGCAACGCCATCTACGAATTCACTCTGGTCGACATAGGTGACGCTGGAAGAAATAGCGATGTTGGTATATTTTCTTACAGCAAAATTGGAGAAGCTGTGAAAAACAACAGTTTGAATTTTCCATGTGAAAAATCATCGCCTGGTTTCCAGGAAGAATGCCCTTATGTTATGGTAGCAGATGAGGCTTTTCAACTGCAACATCACATAATGAAACCCTACCCAAGAGAAGTTCTAGGTATTGCAGAAAGAGTGTTCAATTACAGGTTGTCACGAGCAAGACGGACAATAGAAAATGCCTTTGGGATCCTAGCTGCACGCTTCAGGATTTTTCGACGTGCAATACATGCTAGAGTTGAAATGGTTGTCAGGATAACCCAAGCTGCAGTGGTCCTTCATAATTATCTCATGAGGGAAGGTGCATGCTCTCATGGAGAGAGTTATTTTCGCATGGAACTAATTGACAAAAATACAAAACATGGCACACAACCAGGGCGGTGGAGGGAAATAACGCAAGGCGACAAAGGCTTGCAATCAATTAATAGAGATGGATCAAACAACTACTCTCGTAATGCCAAAAAAGTTAGAGAAGCTTTCAAAAAGTATTTTATGTCAAACGAGGGGCAAGTTATATGGCAGTGGGAATCTGTTCATGCCACTGAAAATTGTTTTGACAAAAATAACTAATAAGGCAGACTTATTATTAAACATGTTCGAACAAATCAATATATTATAAGACAGAAACAAAAAACTTAAAATAACTTGTTACAACAAACTTTAAATAAAAAAGCAAATTGAATGTTCTGTAATACATTTGTCAGTGATGCTAATGAATTTCATTCATCTTCTTCTAACTCAAATAGAACCTGTAGCACCTTTATCTTAGCCATTTGTTTAGTTTTTCCCTTCACCCCTTTGAAACTAGACACTAAGCTTAAGCAAAATAGTGTATCCTCATCTTGTTGATTGTTTGTCTCACAACTACCAGTTTTACTAACATTGGATAAATCATTAGCAAGACTGATGGCTAAGAGGTCATCAATTTGGTCTGATCTTCGCTTGCGTGCTTTCTGACTGGTTTTGAGTTCAAAAACCTGGTCACTTGATTGATTATCCAAAGACAAACTACTTGATTCAGAAACCTTCATAGGATCAATGATTTCATATTCAACATTGCTTTCAGTTTTCCGCATATTTACTACATCCCTTAAGAATGATAGCTCCACAAAATAATCACAGGTGGGCAATTTTTTTGTAGAGCCACTTCCAGAACGAGTTAATTGCTCTCTTTTGCAAATGCATCGACGATAGTTATCTTTCAGTCTGTCAAATTCTTTGTTCAATGTACTTTCTATATTGAAAGTAAAATATTCGTAAATAAACTGCTCACAAATTTTACTGTTTCAAATTTAATGTTATACTATAACCTATACACATGTAGATTGTATAGTACCAATGTTTGTAAATTTTACAGCCAAATACAATTTTGAATACAATATTAACTAGTTAATTAACAAATATAATATCAATAGTTGTTGTAAACAATATGATTGCTGTTTAAAGTAGTAGCAAGAACATTAATTCACAGGCAGCCAAATAGAACTGCTCAATTTTTATCTAGGTAATGCAAAGCTGTATTTAAAACAAAAGGAGGATCCACTATTTATTAGATGTACGATTCTTTTTTATTGAGTGACTGATATGATTATATGTAATGTTTTGGCACTTCTTCCAAATGTTAACCAGACTGGAAAGTATGTCTTGCGCAACCTAGATCTAGCTTGCGCAATTTCGGGAGAAATGCGCGTCCTGACGCGCAGATTTTAAAAAATTTCTTGTTCGGCGCGCATTTGTGAAATTTGCCGCCCAGCGCGAGAAATTATTGCGCAATATCAGCAAATGTGCGCTGCAGCGCTGTTGTTTCCGTTGAAAAAAATTGTTGCCTGTTGAATGTCAATCTTACAAGCTGTTTTGACAGGCAAGTTCCGTTAATTGGTTGGTAAGCCAAGAAGCGTTTGATGACTAGAAATATGATATCTGTGCAGATTAACTACACATTCTTTGCTTTCGTTTTTCGAGCTTTCTCTTTTTAAGTGACTTCAAGGCAAACCATATCGATTCTTCGGTGTATTCTACGGTGATACGTGATATTTAATTAAACCAACTTGGGGTGTTCAAATTTGTAAGGTGAGTACACGTAATGGTTTAGTAAAATCGAAAGTACTGATACAAAATTACAAATGATAAAAATTCTGAAAGCATTAACGCTTCTAACACTAAACGCCCGGGGAAACAAGTTATTATTTAACAGTTATGTTTTTTGTGTAACCTAAAAGTAGTGGTACGAAAGGATTTCTTGTATTACAAACTACAAAGCATGTTTTAATACATTTAAGGCAAATAAAATTCACAATCCTTACATAAAACATATTGATAAATGAAGCAATTTATAATTAAAACCGGTTTGCTAACGAACCAACAGGGCTTAGCTCGCTATTGTTTGGTGATAAAGCGAGATTTTTTGACAAACATTTTATCTAATTGTTTATTTATTTTACTAGATGGCTGAGATTCAAGCAGTTAAATCAGGTAAATTCACGCGTTACAATAGCCGAAAATTTTCCTAACAACAATATACACAATATATATCAGCCATTGGTTGATTGCAGGAGCTGATTCGGTGATTCCTCGACAATATTCACTTCTCACTAACAGTACCAAACCAACATTTGTGTGTTGCTAAAAACTAGTGCTGCTTGCCTTTGATACCAAAAAAACGTTCATTAATTACTAGTTTGCGTTTCATGCAAGAAGGAATGTGGAAGCCATTTTTGCAAAGTTTGCAAAAAAACGTGCCACGCAATTCCGCCTTGCTCAACATCAGCAGGTGATGATGAAGGTTTTGGTGCCCAGGTCTTGTGCAGTGGCTGTGCAAAAACTGAGACAGCAGCAGTGGCTAAAAATAAGCAGCAAACACTGTCTAAGGAAGGTAACAGAACAATTATCTAGTGTTAGAATGTTAGTCGTGTGTAAGAGTGATCGTGTTTGCGTCACAAAGAAAAGTGGCATGACATTGTCAGTGGGTTTTATAAAAACAATAGTAAACAACCAAGATTGGCTATCGACACATTTGTAACCATAAAAATTGTGTGTTATAGAGTTTCAGTTTGCCAACATATTTAAAAGACATAGCAAGCAGCAGAAAACAGGACCTGAAGCAAAGCGAGCAAAGAGTGGACACGAGAAAACCCCAATGGGCTTTTGCTTACTTTGTTTTAGGCAAGGCAAACGTAATTTTGGCTTGCTAGAGGAACAAGTCCTCTCTAGCAAACCATTTAAAAACTCACAGCGACAAGGGCGAAAAGACCTTAGCAAATGACGCTATTAGAGAAGATTCCCCTCTTGCTAAATCTGCGCTACAGGCGTACAAAATGCTTAAATCGGCTAGGTAAATGAAAATCAAGTTCCCAATTCCCAAATTGAGAACTGCACTTACATTGTGTATGTTTTCTATGTTAATTGTATTTTCAGTACAAGCCAAGTGCAACAAAAGTGTGGTGGCGACGGAATGGGAGATAGAAATTATGGAAGTCGATGAAAGGTAGCTAAATTGCTCATT